GAACCATTCAAGTATGAAGTATTCTATTACAGATAGGACTAATTGCTACTCAGCTGTTTTTTACTTGTTGATTTAGTCACAATTCTTACACTTTATATAAATATGACCAATTACACATCTTAGAAAGCAATTTGAATATGTCAAGAAATACAACCAAGGATGAAACTCATTTCTTCCCTAAAAGTATTGCTATTACATTAATAGTTTCTTTCAACTTAGCTCAAATCCAGGGCTTTTGTTACCTATTCAAAAAAGCATTATTATCGGAGAACTGAGATGGCAGCGTAGGTAAATGCCAGTACTCGCTGCCTCTTTCAACCACATCAAAATTACAGCTAAAATACAGAAAAGCCATCATTCATAACCGCCTGAAATCTGGTTGAATGGAAGTCCTACAACTAGAAAGGTAAAGAAGAAAGCACACTGAGACTGGTAGGAGGGGCAGAGGCGTGGAACAGGCTAGTCCGACACCCACGTGTGGCATGTTTTTTGTTTTGTTTTGTTAAATATATTTTATTGATTTCAGAGAGGAAGGGAGAGAAGTGAGAGAAACATCAATGATGAGAGAGAATCGTTGATGGGCTGCCTCCAGCACACCACACACTGGGGATCGAGCCCACAACCCAAGCATGTGCCCCTGACCAGAATCAAACCTGGGACCCTTCAGTCCGCAGGTTGACACTCTATCCATTGAGCCAAACTGGCTAGGGCTTTTTTTTAAATTTCAGAGAGGAAGAGAGAGGGCGAGAGAGGGAGAGAAACATCAACGATGAGAGAGAATCACTGATGGGACGCGTGGCATGTTTTTAATCAGAAGGGATATCTCCCCTGCCAAGGCCTCCCATAAGGAACAAGGGGTTCCCAGCCCAACACCAGACCCCTAGCCCAGGGTTCCAAATCTGGGAAGAGAAGTCCACGTATCTTCAGGCTGTAAAAACCAGCCAGATTATAGTTGAGTGACAATGGAGGCTGTTGGAGTCCCAGGTATTCCTCTTAAAAGCCACTCTACCAATTCCAGGAGCCATAACAGCTCTACCCAATATATAAACACAAAAACAAGGAAGCAGTCAAAATGCAGAGACAAAGAAACATGTCACAAATGAAAGAACGAAAGAAATCTCCAGAAAGAGAAATAAATGAAATGGAAGCAAGCAAACTACTGGATACAGAGTTCAAAACAATGGTATAAGGCAGTGATGGTGAACCTTTTGAGCTTGGCGTGTCAGCATTTTGAAAAACCCTAACTTAACTCTGGTGCCGTGTCACATATAGAAATTTTTTGATATTTGCAACCATAGTAAAACAAAGATTTATATTTTTGATATTTATTTTATATATTTAAATGCCATTTAACAAAGAAAAATCAACCAAAAAAAATGAGTTCGCGTGTCACCTCTGACACGCGTGTCACAGGTTGTTCGCCAACACTGGTAGTATAAGGTTGCTCAAGAATCATGATAATTTCAAAGACATGAAAAAGGACTGGTAAAAATGAAGGATACACTAACTGAAATGAAGAATAATTTACAGAGAATCAACAGTAGAGTAGATGAAGTCAAGAATCAAATAAGTGATTTGGAATATAAGGAAGCAAAAAACAGCCCTAACTGGTTTGGCTCAGTGGATAGAGCATCGGCCTGCGGACTCAAGGGTCCCAGGTTCGATTCTGGTCAAGGGCATGTACCTTGGTTGCGGGTACATCCCCAGTGGGGAGTGTGCAGGAAGCAGCTGATCGATGTTTCTCTCTCATTGATGTTTCTAACTCTCTATCCCTCTCCCTTCCTCTCTGTAAAAAATCAATAAAATATATTTAAAAAAATAAAAAATAAAAAAATAAAAAAAAAGGAAGCAAAAAACACCCAATCAGAACAGCAACAAGAAAAAAGAATCCGAAAAAGTGAGGACAGGGTAGGGAGCTTCTGAAACAACTTCAAGCGTACCAACATTCATATCATGGGGTTTTCGGAAGGAGAACAGAAAGAGCAAGAAATTGAAAATACACTGAAAAAATAATGACAGAAACCTTCCCTATTGGTGAAGGAAATAGACATACAAGTCCAGAAAGCACACAGTCCCAAAGAAGAGGAACCCAAAGAGGCCCGAATCAAGATACATCATAATTAAAGTGCAAAAGGTTAAAGACAGAAAGAATCTTAAAAGCAGCAAGAGAGAAGCCATTACCTACAAGGGGAGCTCCCATAAGATTTCCAGCTGATTTCTCAACAGAAACCTTGCAGGCCAGAAGGGATTGGCAAGAAATATTCAAAATGATGAAAAGCAAGGACCTATAACCAAGATTACTCTACCCAGCAAAGCTATCATTTAGAATCAAAGGACAGCTAAACAGCTTCCCAGACTAAAGGAATTTATCACCATTAAACCAATATCATATGAATGTTAAAGGGTCTTCTCTAAGAAGAATATAAAAAATATGAACAGTAGAATGGTAATAAATACATATCTATCAACAATTAAATCTAAAAAATAAAATAAACAAACAAGCAGGACAGAAACAGAATCACAGATACAGAGAACATTTTGACTGTTGCCAGATGGGAGGGGGGTTGTGGGATAGGTGAAAAAGATGAAGGGATTAAGAAGTACAAATTGGGCCCTAACCGGTTTGGCTCAGTGGACAGAGCATCAGCCTGCGGACTCAAGGGTCCCAAGTTCGATTCCGGTCAAGGGCATGTACCTTGGTTGCAGGCACATCCCCAGTAGGGGATGCGCAAGAGGCAGCTGATCAATGTTTCTCTCTCATCGATGTTTCTAACTCTCTATCCTTCTCCCTTTCTCTCTGTAGAAAATCAATAAAATATATTTTTAAAAAAAGTATAAATTGGTTGTTATAGAATAGTCACAGGGATGTAAAGTACAGCATAAGGAATACTGTCAATAACAGTCTAATAACTCTGCATAGTGTCAGATGGGTGCAGGATTTATCAGGATGATCACGTATTAAGTATGTAATATCTAATTGCTGGGGTGTACGCCTGAGACTAATATAATAGTGTATGTCACCTGTGATTGAAAATAAAAAATTACTTTAGAAATAAATAAAGGGAATTAGAAAATAAGAAATAAAAGGAATTAATAAAAGCATTTTTAGGACAGTTTAAGCATTTTATAAGAAACATGCTATCAAAAGACAAATTCTTTATTGATAATGATAGGTACATAGCCGAGTGTAAGTCAAAAGGCCTGGATTGGGTTCTGGCTTTGCCCTTCCTTACATGGGGGAAATCACTCAAACTTCTTGACAATCTCAAGATATTCAAAATTTGAAAGTTCTGCTATGATTTCAGATCCCCAGCAACCTGAAATAGCTATGATGCAATGAGGTATCCAGAGTATAAAAAAATTCTTGTTCACAATTGTCCCTTTGATGACTTTATTTACACAGTAATTCACTCTTTTCTTTTCTTTCCCTTCTGTAATCACAAGAATTATCCCTTGTCCTCAAATATCATTACAAGCTACAATAAACTGAATACAAATACTAGACAATGGGTCAGAACTCAAGTCTCAGTTATTATTTTATTTATTCAACCTACCACATGCCAGGGACTTTGTGAGGCATTAAGGATAAAGGAATAAAACAAAGTTCTTGCCCTCATGAATAAAAATGTTTTGTAGTGATATGCACTAAGAAGGTAAGTCAAGCAGGATGAAGGCAGAGAGAGTTCCCTTAGAAAACTGGGTGTGCTATTCCAGGTGGCCTTTGTAATGAAGTGATACTACAGCCAAGATCTGGATGGAATGAGGAAGACAGCCATGATGACACAGAGGGCATAAATGTTTCGAGCAGAAGGATTCATAAGCACGGAGGCCCTAGAGCAGTGGTTCTCAACCTTCCTAATGCCGCGACCCTTTAATACAGTTCCTCATGTTGTGGTGACCCCCAACCATAAAATTATTTTCGTTGCTACTTCATAACTGTAATTTTGCTACTGTTATGAATCGTAATGTAAATATCTGATATGCAGGATGTATTTTCATTGTTACAAATTGAACATAATTAAAGCATAGTGATTAATCACAAAAACAATATGTAATTATATATGTGTTTTCCGATGGTCTTAGGCGACCCCTGTGAAAGGGTCAGTGATACTACAGCCAAGATCTGGATGGAATGAGGAAGACAGCCATGATGACACAGAGGGCATAAATGTTTCGAGCAGAAGGATTCATAAGCACGGAGGCCCTAGAGCAGTGGTTCTCAACCTTCCTAATGCCGCGACCCTTTAATACAGTTCCTCATGTTGTGGTGACCCCCAACCATAAAATTATTTTTGTTGCTACTTCATAACTATAATTTTGCTACTGTTATGAATCATAATGTAAATATTTGATATGCAGGATGTATTTTTATTGTTCGCGACCCACAGAGAAGCTTAGAATGTTCAAAATCAGAAAGGCCAATGGAATGGCAGCCGAGAGAACTTTGGGGAAGAACCAAACAAGATGTCATCAGAATGGTGATCAGCACCGGACCACGCAGGGCCTGGAGGGCCATGATGACCCACTGAACTGTCGTCTCTATGTGATGGGAAGCGTCTGGAGGATTTTGAAGAGGGAATTAACATCGCTTAAGTTACATTCTAAAAGGATTACTCTGATTGCTGTGTGAAAAATAAACTTTAGGTGCAGTGATAGACTAAAATTAAGAATATTGGTTAGGCTAACACAAGAGCTCAGGTAAATTACAATGACGGCTTTCACTAAGAGAAAAGTAGCTGCTACAGTGAGAACCATTGGGATTCTAGGTGTATTTTTAAAAGTAAAGCCAACAGGAACAGCTGATGAAGTCAAGGCATGTTATGAAAGAATGTCAATGACACATCCATAGTTTTTGGCTTCAAAAGTGAGTAAATGGAAATTAAGTCTTAAGACCTAGAAACTCTTATCAAGACATTAAATTCAACTGCTCAGAAATAGCATAAGCATTGCTGACATAAAACTGACAAAGCAAAAACAGAATGACTGCTTTCTCTACTCACCATTTGTAGATTGTATCATATTTCCAGATTTTTGGACTTCATCAAATTTTGTAAAAATTAAATTCAACCTGTATGAATGAAAAAATATAAATTATTAACCATCACTGAAAAAACAGTAATACAAACCCACCTAATAACAAAGACAGTGACTATAATAATAACAACATCAACAACACTTACTATAGGTCAAGCACTGACCTGAGGGCTCTAACTGACAGATCTTGTTTAAACCTTGTAACAGCCTTATATGGGATTATTACCATCCCCATTTTACAGATCAAGAAATCAAGAACCCCACAGCTTGCATAGGTGACACAGTTGGGGTGGAGATTTCAGCCCTGAGATTAAGAATCCAGAGCTCGTCCTCTCAGACATTATATTAAATTTATTGATCTATACAAAATGAATATACACTATGAAAAGCATATATTTCTGCCTAAGCACAGACTGCTAATTACTTAGGATAAAGATTTGTAAAATGCTCTAAATATTACAAAGGCTTTTCTTTTCGGTGATTTATGCTTAATTTTAAAATGCTATAAATAATTTATCTACAAACATTGTAACTGGGTAATCTTCATCTTTAAAAAAAAGCAATATGACATTAATTTTTTATTAGTAGATCATTTTCACCTTGACATTTAAATTGAAGCAAAACTCAGTATTCTGAGTGACACCAAAAATTAGAGGAAAGTTGGGGGTGGGGGGGTCACGAAAAAAGAGGCTTTCCCAAGCAAACACAGATACATTTGAATAAGTATAAAGGTTAAGATACCAAGGTAATGTACTTCTGCATTCAAACCTACGCCATCCATTTCAGGGACCTAATTTGAAATGTTAGCACTTTTCTTACAAACAATCCAGTCACACAAGCTCTAATCATTCCAACCATGTTTGTCCTTTCTTTCCAACCAGAATGGAAATTCCTTGGGGTGAAGATGGGAACTATATTCTTTTCGTATTCTGTACACACCAAGTACTATGTCATGCAGGAGAGTGATATCACGTGTGGAAAAGCTGGTACCTAATGCTGTCCCCTGCCCTCACTTCAGAAAACTAGTTATTTCAATCATTCTGGTCTCAGTGCCTGAGTTCATTCACTGAACCCCGCAGAGTAAGCTAGATGCTGAATGTGGAAAGTTCCTAACCTCTAGAGCTTATCCTTCATTCTATTCTACTTAGAATTCTAAGTAACAGGGGAGCCAAAAATGCACATCAGCAGACAGAGGTAAAATGAAAGAGAGGAACTAGCCTGATATACTTCTTCTCCCTTCCCATTCCATGGTCCGTATCAATAATCTTTTCAACCCATCTTTCCATCTAAGTCCAGATATCGCCTCAGATTCCTTCTCAAACTGCTCTAGGCAGCCACTAACAATTAAGCACGGTTGGCATTTAAATTAAAAATCTAGCCCACCAGTGTTGCTCAGTGGTTGAGCGTCAACCCAAGAACCAGGAAGTCAGGGTTTGATTCCTGGTCAGAGCACACGCCACCTCATTAGTCTTGGACTGACTTGTTTGGTGTGCGCAACAGGAAATATTTTGCTTTCGGAGAACAAGAAAAATAGGTTTATTTGCATTACGCTTATTAATTTGTGCAGTTCTTCAGTGTCTGATAAGTTAATGTTCAAGAAAAATATTAATTTTTATTAAAATGTATTATTTTATGTTAACGATGACTCATTTATTTCAGCCGTTTGTATCCAGCATGTCTTTATCAAATAAACCTATGTTGCTATGAAAATTGAACCTTTTTTTTGCAGCCCACATAAACTTAAACCTTGTTTATTTGGCCCGTGCTAGCCTTTGAGTTTGACATGCTTGCTTTACCCTGACACCATGATCAAAAAGAATCAGGGACAACTGATTCACAGGGCAGCTGCCTGAGGTGCCAATCACAACTGGAGCCAAGAAACTGACCAAAGAGCTTACAAGGAAAAGCTGTAAAAAGCTCTGACATATTCCTGGGTAACTAGGAGGCCACACGTGTGTGCAAGGCTGGGTACCTGCCCAGGGAAGACCCAAGAAGGCACTGTCTCACCTCTGGCAGTAAAGGGGAAGGTGGAGATGCACAAACTGCCGGCCAGGAAACTGAAAGCATGCCCCAACACACACAGAGAGCCCTTCGGCAAAGGCTGAGAGATACACCAGCTGAAAACCTATTCAATCGTTAGCTGAACTCTAAGCCAGTGGTCGGCAAACTCATTAGTCAACAGAGCCAAATATCAACAGTACTTCTTCAAAATAGACTCACCCAGGCCGAAAACCGACTTCTGCGCATGGGCCACGAAGTTTCAATCATACTGTACGTGCACGCCGCACGTGGTATTTTGTGGAAGAGCCACACTCAAGGGGTCAAAGAGCCGCATGTGGCTCATGAGCTGCAGTTTGCCGACCACGGTAGTCAAGCAAAGACTTCAGTAGTCACACACAACAACAGAATACAGACTACAGAATCAGTACAGGCAAGTCACTAAGTAAGCAATAAGCAACAAACACCATCAACAACAAGCCTGGGGAGGGAGAAGAAGGTGCTTTTCAGAGGCGCCACAACATATAATTTGAAATGATGAGTTTCAACAAAAAATTATGAGACGTGTAAAGTAATAAGAAAATATAGCCCATACACAGGAAAAAAATCAATCAACAGAAACTATCTTTAATGGAAGCCCCGAAACTGGAATTAACTGAATGAAATCTACCATTATAAGTATGTTGTAAAGAACTAGAGCAGTGGTTCTCAACCTTCTGGCCCTTTAAATACAGTTCCTCATGTTGTGACCCAACCATAAAATTATTTTCGTTGCTACTTCATAACTGTAATGTTAATATCTGATATGCAGGATGGTCTTAGGCAACCTCTGTGAAAGGGTCATTCGACCGGTAAAGGGGTCGCGACCCACAGGTTGAGAACCACTGAACTAGAGGAAAGTATAAGAGCAATGTCTCAACAAATAGATAATATTCATAAAGAGAGAGAAAACATAAGAAAGAAACAGGTAAAAATTCTAGAAATGAAAAGTACAATAATTGCAAAAATTCACTAGGGACTCAACAATGGGTTTGAGCTGCAGAAGGAAGAAGGAGCAAACTTAAACATGAGCCAATTGCAAATACCCTGTTTGAGAAACAAAAGAGAAAAAAAACAACAGAGGGGGTGTTAAAAAAAAAAAAAAAGAGCAGCAACTAAGAGATCATCTTCCTACAATATGAACATATACATAATGGAAATTCTAGCAGAGAAGAAAAAAAGGGACAGAAAGAATATGTAAAAAAATAATGACTATAAACTTTCCAAATTTTATATAAAATATTAACCTATATATTAAAGAAGAAGTTTTAACAAATTCCAAACAGGATAAAGTTAAAGAGAACCTAACCTGGATACATGATAAGCAAAATGTCAAGAGAAAAGACAAATTCTTGAAAGCAACAGTATAGAAGCTGCTCATGTACAAGGATCCTTAATAAAATTAGTAACTGCTTTCTCATAAAAAAACAATGGGGGACAGGCAGCAGTGGGATGACATATTCAAAGTCCTGAAATTAAAAATCTCCACCAAGAATTCTATAACCAACAAATTTACCCTTCAAAAATGAAGCAGTGCCCTAGCCTGTTTGGTTCAGTGGATAGAGTGTCAGCCTGCAGATCAAAAGGTCCGGGTTCGATTCCAGTCAAGAGCATGTACCTTGGGGACAGTACCTTGGTTGCAAGCTCCTCCCCGGGCCGGGCCGGGCCCCTGGTGAGGGCTCCTGCAGGAAGCAACCAATCAATGTGTTTCTCTCACATTGATGTTTCTCTCTCTATCTTTCCCTCTCTCTTCCACTCTCCTTAAAAAATCAACAGAAAAATATCCTCAGGTGAGGATTAACAACAACAACAAAGAACAAAAAATAAAGAAGAAGCATCCCTAGCTGGTTTGGCTCAGTGAATAGAGCATCGGCCTGCAGACTAAAGGGTCCTGGGTTCAATTCCAGTCAAGAGCACATGCTGGGGTTCCGGGCTCGATCCCCAGTAGGGTGTGTGCAGGAGGCAGCCAATCAATGATTCTCTCTCATCACTGATGTTTCTATCTCTCTCTCTTCCTCTCTGAAATCAATAAAAATATATATATTTTTTAAATGAAGCCGACAGCATGGATGGACCTGGAGAGTATTATGCTAAGCAAAATAAAGCCAGTCAGAGAAAAACAAGTATCACATGATCTCACTCATATGTGGAATCTAATGAACAAAATACACTGACAAAAAAAATAGGGCCAGAGAGATGGAAACATGGAACAGACTGTTGACTCTCAGGGGAAAGGGGGGTTGGGGAGATGGGAAGAGATTACCCCGAGAACATATATGCACAGCCCATGGACACAGACAATAGTGTGGTGAAGGTCTAGGGTGGGACAGGAGCTGGGTGGAGGGGTCAAAAATGGGGAGATTGGGGGACATCTGTAAAGTGTCAACAATAAAAAACTAAAATAAAAAAGGATGAAATCAAAAGAGGAATTATAAAATACTTTGAGATGAATGAAAATGAAAACACAATATGCCCAAACTTATAGGATGCAGCTAAAGTAGAACTCTTTAAAGAAAAATTTATAGGCATAAATGTCTATCTTAAAACACAAGATCTCAAATAACTTGGTGGGGGTGGGGAAAGCAAAAGCAACCAAACAAAAGGAAGAAATAATGACAATTAGAGCAGAAATATATAAAAAAGGGAAACAGAAAAACATTAGAGAAAATCAACAAACCAAAAGTTAGTTCTTGGAAAAGACCTTTAGCTAGAATGACCAAAGAGAAAAGATTCAAACTACTGGAATTAAAAGATGAAAGAAGACATATTTCTAATTGTCCTTAGAAAAAAAGAAAATTACAAGAGGGCAACATGAACTCTGTCAAAAATTAGATAACTTAGATAAAATTCCTAGATAGACACAAACTACCAAAATGGACTCAACAAGTAACAAAATCCTAATAGACCTATACCAAAAGACATTAATTATAGTAATCAAAACACATCCCCCTAAAGCAGCGGTTCTCAACCTGTGGGTCGCGACCCCTTTGGGGTTGA